TCACGTATTCACTAGTATAAAAGAAATATTTTATGTTTGTTACTTTAGACCTTTTATGTGGAAAAAAGTCTGACGTTAATGCGGGAGACGTAAATTTACGTTAAGTTTTTTAGCCGAAGTAAAATTACATTGAATATCTCCATGTCTGACGTAAAATGATTGACAGATAAATCAAAAAATAATTTCAATCCGTAAACATGTCCAAAAAATACTCAAATGTTTCAATCCAATCGGAGAGATAGGTCCAGAATAAAAAATGAGTCTTACTACCGTGTACCGTGAACGAAAAATGCCCAAAGGTCTATCACCATTATCATTGGAAACCATTGGAGAGGAAAACAATGTCAAAACACTTGCGTACATGCAGGAGTAAAACAACATTTTTACACAAAAAACATGAAAACACTAACCTCAATCCGTGAAAACACTTGCGCTCATCGTCGTTGTCGTTGCCGCTCACCGTCATTGTCATCGCCGCTTATCGTCGTTGTCATTGGCATCGTTGTTGTCGTTGTTGTCGCTAGAAATTGCTAGAGGAAAACCCTAAAGGAAAATATGTAAAAACACTTGCGTGCACGAAAAAGATGAAGGTGCTGGGGAATAAAATAACTTTTTAACGTCGGACCAAAAGGAGTCCGACATAAAAATTGAAATCTACGTCGGACTGTACTTCATATCTGACGTAGATTTTTTACGTTAGGTGTCTTTATGTCTGACGAAAAAAAGGTGACGTAAAAGACTGATTTTCCACTAATAATTAAAACGAAATTAGTTAGTACCGTGCCTATATCCTTTTTCTCGTTCTATCCATTTAGTTAAATATTCTCCACTTAACATAAATTGAATTTAGAGAATTAGGCATAAGCATGAAGTAATATTTGGATATAAATTTTGAACTTATTATCTTAATTTTCTTTTTTACCTTTCAAACTGAGTCTTTACTCTTCATACACATATCATAAAGTTCAGCATTGTGTTAAACTTAAATGAGATAATAGTATTAATAATATAGTTATAAAAAGAGTAATATAGTTAAACTGTGAAATGGAAAGTTTGTTACTCATGGAATTTTTATTTTTATTTTTTTGCACTCACGAAGATAATATATTTTGCCGAAAATATATCTGTATTCAATTTTTAATTAGTGTACAAAAATCTTTCATACTAACGATAATCATAAATCATGTGGTCGATTAATGGTTATCTGATATCCATAATAAAAGAAGAAAAAAAACTAAAACTATAAGAAATACGTGAAAGTTAAAAATATGTGGCGTAGACTGTATTATTCTTAGATGCAATTCTGATCATATAAAACTTTATTTCGTTTGGTAAGTATTTTAGTATGTATAATTTATAAAACAAACTTCTATTTTATATAATTAAAAATTATAATAAATAAATATTTTTAAATATATAAAGGATATTATAATTTAAACTTATAATAAATAAATATCTTGATAAAGAGTATTCTTATCAGTTTTTTTTTAATAAAAATACTTTAATCTTAGATTTTTTTTTTAATTTCTTACATTTTTAATATGATTGACAGAATGTGAATGAGCTTTTATTTATTTATTTTTTCTCTTTTTTCACTTTAAATAATGATATTATTTTAAAGAAAGTGAGTGATTTTAAAAATTTAGAGAGAAGATGTATTTCATTTAAACAAATTATACAAGAAAAAAAATGTAATTTTCTTTAAAATTAATTATCATAACTATTTATATTAATATATTAAATTTTAATATTTTCTTAATAGAAATGATCATTCGCTAAAACTAATCTTATATTGTAATATACATTATTTATCATAATTGAAAATCAAATTATATGATTAAAATATTTATTTACTATAAATGTTAATTATAATATATTTTTATATATTTAAAAACATTAATTTATTATAAAAATTTAGTTATATAAAATAAATATTATATAATTTGCACATGCTCTAAAATAATAATTATAAATATCTTATAAACAATTGGAAGTCACTATTTTTACTATTGGATGAAAATTTGCAGACTTTATTTACATAGTAAGAATTTTTAATTTAATGTTTAGATTATTGAAACTTAAATATTAGAGTAATTATAGGTAAACTTCCTCTTAGAATAACTAAATTTCTCTTCTTATTAATTTTTTTATCTATCAAAATTACAAAATGAGATTAAAATTTGAATTTAAAACGTATTAACCTAACTTGCACCACTACATGATACCAATTGGATGTTACTATATTAGATTACCACGATATCCATCATGGGTGAGTTAACGAATTCTTTTTCTAGAAAAAGACACAAGAAAGATAATTTAAAATTGTAAAACATATATGAATAACTAACCAACGAGTTATGTCAATTTCTCTATCTTTCTTCATTCGTCTATATTCTCTTCTTTATATCTCACTGAATTTCCTTAGCCTGTCTCTTCTCTTCCGTGACTTTTTACTGTTAATTTTCTCCCAATTTTTCTTTTTCCTTGATAAGGAGTTTCATCCGTAATTCTCACTCTTTCCTCTATAATTTAATGCTAAAATAAAAAAGATGACTAAATTAATACAAGCATAGGTTAGATTTGTTTTTTTTTTCTTCTTTAGAATTTCCAAAATTAAAAAAAGTAACTTTATGATATATATTTGAAAATCTATTCCTTTTAATTTTCGAAAAATGTATAAATTTTTACTAATAAAAAGTTTTTGGAAAAATAAATAATGGCTCTTAATAATTAACATGGTTAAACTTGATTCTCAATCAATTAACCGTGAGACAAGGAAAGCAGATTCTCTATCAAATTAGGAAAAAAGAAAAGTAACTAAAGAAAGTAAAATCATACCTATAGTAATAATAGCAAATAATGGTAGCTATAGAAAGCACACACACAAAAAAATCTTACAATTAAGAGATATAAAAAATAAATTAAAATAACTGATTTGATGAACAAATAACATTATAAAGGTTATCGTATGATTTTATGAATTTCATGAATACGTACAGTCAATTAATTAAAAATTAGCTTTTGAGATGGATAAATTATTAATGCCGATTTAATAATATACGAGTTTTTTTTTATTTATATTTTTTATTAAGAAGTTCTAAATCCAACAAATTAGAACCAAGAAAGTGAGTATAATAATAAAGAATTAGAATAAAATCTACGATATTTTATGTTTCAATCTTAGTGTAGTCATCGTAATTTTTATGAATAAAAAAAATTTATATATACTTTTAAGCTTTTAAATTTAAGGTAGATTTATTTTTTATTATTTAAATTTAAAATCGTTATTTTTAATTTTTATATTTTTAAAATATTATTTTAATTTTTTAAGCCATCAATAATATGTCTAAAAACGATAGATTAAGATAATTATACATCATTAATCAAGTTTGATGTAATATTTTCATTAACAAAAATATCTCTATATAGATGTTATACAACAATATTTAACAAATTCCTTAATAAAAGTTAAATATAAAAATTAAAATAATTTATTTTTGAAATTAAAAAAATTAAAAAGACTAATTTTAAATTTAAAAAATTAAAAATAAACTTACTTCAAATTTAAGAAATTAAATATATATTTAAAAAATAACAAAAAAATTATCAACACACCAAGTCATATTTGAGATGAAAGGTGGCCAGGCATAGCAAACGAGAACTGAGAGTGATTCTGACGGTTAGCAATACGAGGCAAGGCATCCTCATTACAACGTATGACTTGGACCCAAAGACCATCCTAGTGGTTACACAACTTCCATATTCCCAACTTAGAATCCACATTTTTTTTCCTCTACTTTTATTACTTTCATACGGTGTTTTAAAACCTGGATTGACCCGGCCGGTCGGACCGGTTGGACCGGAACCGGTAGTCCAGCCGGTCTGAATCTGAAGTTGGATCGGTTATGCAGTCGACCCGTTTCAAACCGGATTGAACCGGTCAATTTTCCGGTTCAACCGGTGAACCGGTGGGTCAAACCGGT